TCCACCGTCTGCGCAAAAGTCAAATCTTTTGGGTGTTGTGGAAGGATAAAGTTGGTGAACCGGTCGTGTTCGAGGATTCCAAGTTTCTGTACCAAGAGACGGGATTTCCACGCATCATCTTTGCCGGTGAACTCAGTCAAGGACGTATCCTCCCAACGGCTGTACAACGAATCAAAGGTGAGACCAGATACTGGCTCATAGTGAAATTCAGTTACAGTTGCAGCAATGGAATCCGCAAAGGATAGTGAACTACCACTTTGAGATGAAACTGAAGTTTGGAGATTGATGACTTGGGTGAGAGACGGTATAAGTCGCGACTGCGATTGTTCGAATGGAGCTTGTTGTTAGCGAATATACACTCATCTGCAACCTAATTTGGTTCTTCCGAGAGACTCACCTGGAACCCAGCTGAATCTCTCGTTTGTGATGTTCTCAGGCTTGTTGTTGTTTAAGGACTAATTTCAAATCCTCAGCTGAAATAGACATTCTTGGGTTCGTGAAGGGTTCCTGTCGCCAATGTCCTGCACTGATCAGTCAATCAACCTTGTCAGTTACACACGGCATTGAGAAGATAAATAGCCTTGAGGAAATTGTACTGCAGCAACTGAACAGCCAATATCGAGATTCAAAAGAATCAAGAATGGAATGGAACAAACCAGTCCAATGAAAGGCTAAAACAGAGAGAGAAATGTCGAGCATTGAAACATAGGTCAGAGTCAACAATGTGAAAATGTTTGTTAGGAGGCAGTCCTCCTAACACAGATGTTCCAAACCCCAAAACAAAGAGGACCTGGAGTCTGTTTGTCCAACGCACTGACTAATGCGCCAAGCGTACCCTCCCCAGTATAGTTCAGCTATAAAACGGCTCATCAGCAGCGATACAGTATCGACGTGGTAGTCAAACGGAGGAGAAATGGCAACTGACTGGCAGGTAGCGTCCGACAGGAGTCCAACGTTGCAGTAACCGATGGAGTAGCTTCCTTCAGGACCGATACTCTGCTCATGTGGGTGCCGCAGATGGGCCGCTTATCGTAACACTAAGGGGAAATTGGATGAGAGAATACTCACGCCGTGGAGATTCGCATGTATTACGTACAGTCAGTATTCCTCGAGGATTCGACTCTGTCCCATGAAAAACCAAACGCAGTTACACTCAAGGTGACGAGGAAATTGCATAAGTGATGGGGGAATGGTAGCGCCATTCTGACTGTAGAATACCACGAGGAACTTAAACCACCAACGTATGGTCCCACGGTAGTTGGTTGGGGATCAGAGTTTAATGAGCAACCCTGAACGAACAAACCCTAAATGATGACCCAAATTCTTCTTCATGATGAGGCACGAAATGTTAACATAACGGAGATTGCACAGTAGTTTGTCTCTTGGGATATTCTACCGATTTCACAAGCCACCTATTCCCGTCGTACTACGTTATGAGAGATACGCTGTTCTCGCCTCATGAAGTATATCCTTCATTTTATTTTCTAGGATGAAATTTTCGAAAACAATTTCGTTTGACTTCGTTTCGATTGTTTGTTACGATATTTTCTTTAAGTGCTGGCTTCACGCACTCCATGGGTCCCATACAGGACACAGCAGCTCGAGCTGGTGGTTCCGGGCATCACGTGGGCGAAGAGTAAATTTCAACGTCGAATCCTGTCGATGGAAGTGCTTTATGGCGATTTACTTTCGATCTCAACTGCAGTCTGATTGCGTTGTAAGTGGATGTAGGTCTCGAAACGCTGAAATTGGAAGCCCCGGAACCGCCACTATGTCGGCTGTATATATGCATCCCAATAGGGGTTGAGAGATGCAAGGGAAAATGCACGGAAAAATACACAGTGCGAAAGCTAATTTGAAGGTTTGACTCATTCCCTAGAAAGAAGTAAATTATGGCGCCTAGACCAACAAATCCCTTTTCGAACCATGTGCTCAGTCTGATACGGGTACAGTTGGCTGTTGAGCCCAACTTTCCCACCAATCAGGTTTCAGGGATTCACGGATTGGTACTCACGCATTCACCGATTGATGCACAGGATCGAGGCTTTTGCCCAAGTTTCCCGGGTCGGTTTTGTTCTTGTCGGTCAGTGGCTGTCGTTCACCTGAAAGGCACAAGTGAAAAAAGGGTGTAGCACTGCTCTTTATGTTCTCAGCGCGGGGCAGTATGCTTGCCAGCG